AACGTTTAGAGGGAAAGTAAAGAACTGCAAGATTTTTATTTAAACATTATAAGTGCAACAACAAAGTAATAACTGCATGGATAAAAATATTGAGAAGAAAAATAAGCATAATGAATAGAGGATAAATAGAAAATGCCTATAAAATAATCATCATAGTAGACCATATAATAAAATTAGAAATGAAACAACAGTAAGAAATTAGCAAAACATACACATAAAAAACCACACAAAAATAAAAATAAAAATAAAGAAAAAGAAACAAAGACAGACCATGCTTTGCACAGGATAAATACTAGTGAATTTTAAAGACTGAACACTTCCTGATACTGTTTTTGAAAAAGTTGTTAGAACGGCAGGTGTTTAGTAAAATGTAAGCTAAAGCCTTTTAGTTACATTAGGTGTTTAGTAAAATGAGTTTTCAAACGGCATGCAGGCTCATGGTTATCAGATAGTAAACATATAACTTGATTTTTTTTAACAAAAAACTTTCAAAATAAATGGAAATTAAATGGGTTGACTAGCAAAACAAATGTGGATCAAACTCTCCTTTAATCTTCAAACTAATTTGTCAATCTTCTAGGAACTATAAGAAGATGAATTGAGAAAATTTCTTCTTTTTCTAGTTCTCCTAAAAGATTGACAAATTAAGTTTTGAAGATTAAAAGAGTTACTAGAAGAAGAAGAAGAGGAATTAAGCAAAAAGTCTAAATAAGCCCACCTGTAGTCAAGTAGCAAAGCTCCAAAACATCTCTAGGATTCCCATTTGTCTACATCACAGCCAACGCTAGAACTTACCAATGCTTAACAATTCTAGAAGCTGACCTAGGTAGACACCAAGCACTAGTCAACAGTACCAAGCATAAACATAAACCGTTGCTTAAACAATCAGTGAGCCTAAACCCCATATAAGAGAATAGTTTGACTATTCCATATTCTTAATCACGTTGATAATGAAGTTAGACCTAAGCATAATTGATAAGCTAAGCAACATGTAACCTTACAATTAAGTGCAAAAAAACGTGGGAGTGGAATACCTATGACCTTGGCTCGCCAATTTCCCTCTTAATATAAAATCCATCTTGCGTAGAGGACTTTCTTTTGATAACCCAAAGTTAGAAGTTACTCCTCTTGAATTAGAAGTTTGAAATTATGTACCATGGTGGGAGTGATTTTGTTCAAATACAATGAAGATAGAAAAACTTTAGCTATTCTGAACTGAATAATACTCTCTTTATATTGGTAATCGTAGCTTTACATTGTCTCAATATCTTATAACCTTATGCTGTGTTTTTTTAAGTATAATGGAACTTTTTTCAGTGGCTAAGTCAAGTGCAATTCCCCATCCTTAAGTTCTCCTTAATTAGTAATATGTTCTCTTTCTTAATCAGAATAACTAATTATTTTCGAAATAGATTTTAATTTTTTTAAACATAAATATAAGAGGTGTGTTTGCGATGTGCATGAATTTAGCTTTTACGTACGTAGTACATGAAGAAACTCCCTCTCGATATAGTTGACATTCAATTTAGCTTTTACGCAGTACATGAAGAAACTCCCTCTCGATATAGTTGACACATTCAATTTAGCTTTTACGCAGTACATGAAGAAACCCCCTCTCGATATAGTTGACATTCATTGGTGACCTATTTTTCTGGTGAGCTTCTAAAAGAAAGAAAAATTATGAAACTTATCTTTCTAACATTGTTGTCTTATTGTGCTATCTCTTTGTATCTTACTTTGTTATGTTAAATGAGATGACAGCTCATATTCAATATATCGTATTCTTGTCTTCTATGACATTTTTATATTTTCAAGAAAGAATAAGTAGGTGTCTAAAATTGACAAGGAACCACCTTAACATGGGATCTAATTTAGAGAGAGATTTTCAAAATTATTTTGGAAGTAACAAGGGAGGTCAAAAGAAACTCTCACTTTCCCTAACAACTCTCAAGGAAACCTCCCCCACTTTCATATTAAAAATTTGTTGTCACAAGCTGACGAAAAAGGAGGTGTCCCAAGTGAAGCAAGAGAGGATATACAGCCAAAAGGGGGCAGTCCTCCACCCTCTCAGCTTTGTCTCATCGTCTCTTTTAACACCTATGAAGCAGGATAAGGGTCGTGTTAATAAGAGAGAGAGAGAGATGAAGACAAGCAAGGTGGAGGTCTGGATGCATTCAAGGCTGGCCTCCTTTGAAATCCCCCCCGCCCCTGTTTCTCTCTCTCTCTCTCTCTATCGTCAAAACTAAAATTGACAAGGAACCACCTTAACATGGGATCTAATTTAGAGAGAGATTTTCAAAATTATTTTGGAAGTAACAAGGGAGGTCAAAAGAAACTCTCACTTTCCCTAACAACTCTCAAGGAAACCTCCCCCACTTTCATATTAAAAATTTGTTGTCACAAGCTGACGAAAAAGGAGGTGTCCCAAGTGAAGCAAGAGAGGATATACAGCCAAAAGGGGGCAGTCCTCCACCCTCTCAGCTTTGTCTCATCGTCTCTTTTAACACCTATGAAGCAGGATAAGGGTCGTGTTAATAAGAGAGAGAGAGAGATGAAGACAAGCAAGGTGGAGGTCTGGATGCATTCAAGGCTGGCCTCCTTTGAAATCCCCCCCGCCCCTGTTTCTCTCTCTCTCTCTCTCTATCGTCAAAAGGAAAACAAGAGAACAAAAGAGAGTGGTGTTTTGTTGTGTTATGGCATGTTTGGATGCTTGTGAGGATAAGGAATAAGGAGTCCGACCTTATTCCCCTGCCCCTCGCGCATCAAGACAAAGCCCCAAACTAACAGTCTCAAATAATAATTCCAATTTGTTTTTGACACCTTTACGCCTTCCCACCCCCGCCCCTTAACTTTTAAGTCTTTTGCAAAACATTCACGTTCGTGATGCTCTGCTATTTGCGTGCCGTTTTTTTACAATCTTAAACCTTGTTGCAATCTTAAAGCATTTACGGGGCGGGCTCAAGCCGGGGGAAGGAAAAAAATAAATAAAAGGCAGGCGCGTCGGAAACGGAGGTGGGCTCTAGTTCTCATAAATTCCATATTCGTCTTCTCCGCTAACAAACAGACACCAAAATCCACGTCCTTCCAAAAAACGCTTCGCTTTTGTCGCCTAATGCCCCCCCACCCAGCTCACCATCGTCAATTAACCCCCCCACGCCCCTCGTTTTCAAACCTCCTAAACTATTAACTTGTATTTCTCGGTTTCATACTTCGTCGTCGGTCCCCTCGATCAAATTAATTAGGCTCAGATGATGGTTCTTCACCAGGACGAAGCCGCCTCCAGTCCCGGTAAATAACTCAGGCGGCTACACATATGACTATCGGCGATGAATCTCCCAGCAGCCTCAAACCTTCTGCACACAGGGTTCTCTCGGCTTCTTCCGTAGCCAGATCACTCTCACTTCCTCTCGAATTCATACACCGGTACGACCGTCGCAAGGCTAATAAATGTTCTTGATCTCTCTGGCCCTGCCAGTGAGAGGGCAGCTGTCATTGATCCGAGAACCCTATTGCTTTCATGGACTGCTCGAGGTCGTTCGGACTCCCGCTCGGAGCACCCGTCAACTCCAAAACAAAGTATCGAACAACCTGGGACACGGTGCGATCGCGTAGCAAGTTGAGCGCCTCGGACGAACCTCTCGTTCCATATTCGGGCTCCGTTGTGGTTGTTCCGGTTCGAACTTTTCGCCTGTGGTCGGGTGACCACCACTATCATTCGGCGACAGCCCCCGAAGTAGTCGAGCTCAAGTAATGCGTTCTCGAGACCGATTGTTTTTTGGGGCGACATGAGTGGGCAAGCCCGAAAAGGGGACGTGAGGAGGGGGCCCGGGAGTCGGACGTGCGGACCGGAAGGCCGTTGATCAGTCACGTTTGATCCCTCCTCGCAGCAGCTTCTGTTTCGTCGAAGCGTGGCCACTTCTCTCCCATGGCCCATGGTGTCAACATCTCTGTGACAGCCTTGGAGCCACGCATCGAGCCGGCCTTAACTATGCTGCGTCTGCGCGGGTACATCCGTCGGCGTCCGCCCTTGGCGAGCAAGCAGGAGAGAGGTGGATAGGACATGAACAGGGATCTGGGGAGCCTTGACAGGCCACGGGCCTCGTCCGGTCCGTTGTTGGACGTTTTGAAGTCTCCAAGTCGAGGCTGTCGAGCCGGCCGACTACGGGGTTGAGGAAGGCCTTGGAAAGGGATGTCGAAGCCGTACTCGGCCTCGTCTGACAGCACAGGCGGGGGGCTCACGTGGGAGAAAGAAAAAGGGCCCTCCGATCGCTTGCTTTCCTGACTGACGCCGGAGATCCCTCAGGTGCGGGGGTCCCTCGGGCCGTCCGGCGAGCGGCCCTGGGAGGAGGGCGAAGCCACTGGGTGGAGAGGTGCACGCGATGGTGATGGCGGTGGGAGGTGCGATTGATGTGGACGACCTTCTCGCGCTCCATGGCTCGATGCAGTGGGCTCCTGTGTTGGGAGACGGGAGGAAGCGAGAGGTCCGGAGGAAGGGGAAGGAGGTCCGCGAGGAAATGTCGGCGGGGGAGGGGGGGATGGAGGGGTCGGGGGAAGGGGGAGGTGGAGGGTGAGGGCGCGTAGAGGGCCTGGCCAGGAGCGGAGGAGGCGCCGGGCGAGGGCGTCGGAGAAGTAGGAGGCGAAAGATGCGCTTGCTATGGCGTCGCCGTCGTGGGAGGAGAGGAAGGGAGAATGTGGTTCGAAGGCAGGTGTTGGCGGTGGGTCCGAGGGAGCCGGCGGCCGAACGTGTTTGGCGCCAGTTTGAGGAAGGGAGGTGGATGAGGTAGAGGCCGCGCTCGTCCGGACTTTGAGCTCGCGGGGGCGCCGCAGGGGACGACGGTGGTCGGGGAGCCAGAGACCATCAAAAGGAGAAGCACTGGAGGGGGAGGAGGGTGACCGAGGAGC